TGCCAACATCCACTGGATCATCAAAAAAGTAAGAGATTTCCAGAAAAACATCTATTTCTGATTTAGTGACTATGCCAAAGCCTTTGACTGTGTCAACCACAATAAACTGAGGAAAATTCTGAAAGAGATTGGAATACCAGACCACCTGACCTGTCTCTTGAGAAACCTGTATGCAGGTCAGGAAGCAAGTTAGAACTGGACATGGAACAACAGACTGGTTCCAAATAGGAAAAGGAGTACATCATGGTCATGTATGGATGTGAGAGTTGGACTATAAAGAAAGCTCAGCACTGAAGAATTGATGCTTTTGAACTGTGGTTTGGAGAAGACTCTTGAGTCCCTTGGACTGCAAGGAGATCCAACCAGTCCATCCTAATGGAGTTCAGTCCTGAGTGTTCATTGGGAGGACTGATGTTAAAGCTGAAACTCCAATACTTTGGCCACCTGATGTGAAGAGCTGACTCATTTGAAAAGACCCTGATGTTGGGAAAGATTTAAGGCAGGAGGAGAAGGGGACAATAGAGGATGAGATGGTTTAATGGCATCACTGACTCAATGGAGATGAGTTTGAGTAAACTCTGGGAGTTGGTGATGGACAGGGAGGCCTGGCATGCTGTGGTCCATGGGGTCATGAAGAGTTGGACACAACTGAGCTGAACTGAACTGAAACTGTGTGGTTATCCTCCTTTTGGAGATGGCAGGACTGATTAGTGGACTCATGCGCGGGAAGTCTGAGCCTTCCATTTTGTAGCTTCCCATCAATTTTTCTCCTAATGGCTTCAGTATCCACTGATGATTTTTTGCCTAGAATCCATGAGAATTTGTAAAATAGTTCTTTTCAAACACCACCCCCCATCTCCCATAATTCCTTTTAAATTGAGAGTTTTTCAGAAAAAAGGAAATTTACCACATTGTTTACTCTGAAAATGCAGTTTGTTCAAGAACAGGCACTAGGAATGCTGACTTTAGAAATGGAGTCATGCTCTAAAATCATGGTGTTTGCTTTTCCTCTTTGACATTTTGCTGTCCAAACGGACCATCATCTAAAATCAAGCTTAGCCACACATGGCCAGCCTGCGGGCCTCTGCTCAGTTCCTGCCTTCCGGCTGAGCTCACCTTCTCTGGGGTGGGGAGCTGACTGGTTCCATTCCAGCTTCATGCAGCTCTGATGTTGCAAAGTTCTTTGTCTTCCTCATGTAGTGATTCCTTTATCAATTCCACTATTCAAAAAATATTATTTGTTTTACACATTTAAAGATTTGAGTGGTGCAGTTCCTGGTGGAGCCGGACTGTGACAAAGAGGGGTATACACAAGGATTAACCCCCCAATCCTCACCTGCTCTCTGAAGCCTACTCAAACAAACACAATAAACAGTTTGGTAAAACGCAAATCAGCTTCAAGGAAGTCCTCTAGGCCTCACCTTCTTCCTGATGGCCACTCCCTAAGCCCCCACTAAACACATTCTGGAGTTGGCAATGAATCTAAACCTTATTCCACAGAGTGGTTCTCAAGTATTTGAATGTGCTCTATATGGCCCGTTTCTTCTTGTCCCCCTGGAAAGCCTAATCTTCCCACTTCAAACCATTTTGATATGTGGTCCCGTGAAACTGACAGTATAGAGCGTGGTGGTCTCACCTCCTTCATCTTAGCAGCCCTGCTTCTACTGAAGGGGTACTTCAATGGGCGAGGGACTAACTGAACAATCTGGCGCTGCTTTTGCCTTTGCATTTCCTGTTCCACCAGAGGCACTCATTTGCCCGGAGAGGTTTAGCATATTACAGCAAGGAGAAAGAGAAGCAATAAGCAACTTTAGAGTCTGCAGCAAAATAAAAATCATAAAGCCAGCCTCTGTCATTTAATTTTCTAAATCAAACTCCAGTTAACCTATCAAGGCGATGGTAGAGAGAACTTGGGAAACAAAGAAGTTCCTGCTACACACAAAGATGAGAAATCATATTACTCTCAGCCCTGGGGAAGTGCAGAGGATGAAAGAGATGGAGTGGAGGTGTGTGGACTGCCTACTAGC